TCAGTACCAACTCCAAAGCACTGTGAATTAAGTATAATCTATGGATGGTAGATAACATTCACTCTTTGTGGGGCACTGTAACTTATCCTGGGCAAGGTGAGCCCGAATAAGCTGCTTCTGTAAGTGGCCTTGGTCATGGTATTTCATCACAGCAACAGAAAGGAAAGGAGAGGAGCACAAGAGTGGAGTAGGATGTAGGAAGGAGTAAAAATCGAAGGAGTAACCACTTAGGAAAGCAAGAAGCAAGAAGAGTAGTGAGGAGAAATGTCCAGGCACTGTGGTGTCTGGTCCAACCTGTCACCCAAGTTCCAGACCCAGGGCCTCTGATCCTGCCTCCAGTGACTTCTTTTATTTCTCTGTTCATTTGTTTTTCAATAATCTCCTTGTATGGTTTTGCTGAACATCCCCCAGTGAGCAGAAGTTGTCAGTCCCTGGCAAGCCCAGGAACTCTGAGAGTAAGAACTGATGGACTGATGGTGTCTAAGCCAGGCAAATGAAATCGCATATTGAAGAGAGGAGCCCAGACGTTACATTTTTAATAAGTATTAGGATGAAAATTTCAAGTGCTGAAAGCATGCTTTATTGACATATTCTTAAATACTGATTTTGCACGGATTTTTCCAGAAAGTCCCAGACATAGGGACTTTTAATAAATCTCATGACTCTGATTTGATCTCAGTGTCATGAGCTTTTAATATGTCATGTTTGTGAATTTGGGGTTGAGAAGTACTTGGCTAAATTCAACTTAGGGGGAGGATGACAGATTCTGTGATTTCTCTAAAGTCTGTCCAGACTACTAAGATTCAATATCCATACTCAACATTAGGACCAAGCAGAGCAGATTGGAGGATGGCAATAACTGAAGAATCTCAGCTATCCTGGGATCTCAAAGGCCAAACTTGGCAGAAGAAATGGCTCCATGTCAAGATGCCTTTGTTTGGTTTACAGATTCTGGGCATTAGAGCTTGAGTTCACAGATGTAAGGAAATGGATTCATGACCAATTTCAGAACTAATTTTGACATTATTTTGCACTAACAAAGCAAAATATATGTCAAGAGAGGAAAGAGAAACTTCTAAGCATGCTCCAATTAAGAGGAAAGCAAAGATCAAGTGAGGAGATGCCTTTGAATTAAGCTCACACTGAAAGGAGTTCTGTCTGCTTGGGCATATAGGGTTTTTAATCACTTTTGTTTCCTGTGCTTTGGTGTGTTTCCGAGGAGGAGGAATTCCAGCTTGAGCTTTCCTGATTATAGCATTGAGAGCTATGATCAGGTCTAGTGAACAGCATGAGGGACCCTTAAATATTTGTGGCAGAAGTCCCCAGATGTTGAGAAAACACAAAGACTTCTGCTGGGCTTCACCGGTAAAATGCCAAGAATCTGTCCTTACTTGACTCTTCAGCTTCACCCATCTATCTTCCTGGTCTTCAGTCCCTTCCCATCTTAGGTATCTGGACTCTTTTTAAAAGTGTTTAGTTGCAGTATGTTTCTCTGGACAGCAACAGAAGGGCTTCACAGAGAACAGACATGTACCTGCTTGTAAATGTGTCATCAGCCAACACGGCACGAGCCCTTTCCCCAGCCTCCTTCTGTGGAAAATGTGAGGTTGGCCTAACTGGGGAACATTTTTATCTGGCCAGTGAACGCTGGCTATGGTTCCTCCTGTGTTTGCCCTCTGGATTGAGAGAGTGCTCCACCCAGAACCCCCTGAACACAGGGCATTGTCAAGCTTTTGGGCCACCACACAGAGGCTGTTGGTGAGGCCTAGAACTCTATAAACAAAGATGTCTCAGGAACTCTTCTGAGTGCTCATGATCTATGCTTGTAATGACAAGCAACTCTAACCATAAAGTGAATCACGTGTGGATCATCATTTAGTCATGTAACAAACCTGTGGGGCTTAGATTTGAACTTAAGGAGGAAGAGAAAAAGGAGGAGGCAGAGAATAAAGAGGAGGAGGGATAGGAAGAAGAGAAGGAGAAAGGAGAAAGAGGAGGAAGATGAAAAAGAGGAGAATTAGGGGGAGGAGGAGGAAGAGGATTTGAGATTAACTTGGTTGAGTCTGCAAAGTCTATATCCCAATAAGGCCCATTCTTATGTTCCAGGTAGAGATTACTTGGGGCAACAGTACTCAGCCTAGCTTATTGTACCCTTGCCCAGCAGAACCCCTTAGGGTCAAAGACCTCACACTTAAAGATGCAGAACCCCACCTGCTCTGAGTCATCATCACCATAAACTTTACTCTCTCTCTCTCTCTCTCTCTCTCTCTCTCTCTCTCTCTCTTTGTTTTTGAAAAACAGGGTTTCTCTTATCAGGACCACAGTGCTGATGAGAGAATGGGCAGCTGGTACCAAGGTTGTGACAGCAAAACAGCAGAATCCTTTACCATTTTTATGGGCTCTTGGCAGCTGTAGTAGTTACTTTCCTTGTTGCCATGACGAAATCCCTGACAAAAACAACTTAAAGAAGGGTTTATTTGGCTTACAGTTTGAGGGAACACAGTCCATAATGGTGAGAGGCAGTTGACTAGAGTGGGACTCCCAATCTTCTCACATCTTGGTAGATAGGAAGCAGGACGCAGACAGGAGGTGGGGCTGGTCTATAAAACCTGAAGTCTTCCGCTCCATAAAACCCGAAGCCTTCCCCTCCAGTGACCCAGCAAGTACCATTTCCTAAAGGTCCCGCAACCCTCCCAAATGGTGTCAGCAGCTGGGGATCAAGTGTTCAACATGTGAGCCTGTGGGGGATATTTCTCTTTCAAACTACACCAGCAGCTTTTGCTTATTAGAGCTGGATTTAAGATATTACTAACACATGTTAGTAACGGACCTACAAAAGACAGTACTCCCTGCATCTGGCCTGGCTAACACAGATAGACTGGAAGGGGATGCCCATGATTAACTCAAGGTCATCATTTCACTGGACAGGTCGTATGACTCTGGGAGGACATAGCCTGGCTGAGCCTAAGGGTGAACTCCCAGAAAAGTATTAAGAGCACCAAATCTGGAGGCAGCCCACCGGGCTCAATCCTGACCTTACCACGGTGGGAACCTTGGCCAGGTATCCAGGTACATGGCTTCTGTGTCCTTCAACTTCCACTCTCCAAGGGATGGTAAGGTGCCATTTTCACAGGCTTCTCATGGGGAGCAAATAAATAGGTTGGCCATAGAAGCCAACCTCTTAGACCCTGGTGGCTGATAAAACAGACCATCACTATAAACATGGCGATTCTTATATGAGATTTTTGCCAATCAAGAATTCCTTTCTAAAAGATTCGGTGGAGGGGGATGGTAAGAAAGCTCAGCTGGTCAAGCTGCCTTCCACGAAGTCTGACAACCTGAGTTTGATCCTCAGGATCCTCACGGTGGGAGGCGAGGACAAACTCATTGTAAGCTGCTTTCTGACCTTCACACAGGCACTGTGACACACACACATACACACAAACACGCACACGGTTGCTGCTCTTCCAGAGGACCAAGTTTGATTCCCAGCACCTACACAGGACAGCTAACAACTGTCTGTAAAATGTCCTCTTCTGGACTTCATAATCTCACAGTTTCTCCCTTTCCTCGCCCACCCCCCACACCTTTTGATAAAACTCTTCAGGGCAGTTTTCCTCAGTGTCCCTAACACACCACTAAGCACCAATATGTTATTGTGGAATAAAATGGATGTTATAACCAGTAAGTAGTATATTGACACTGAAGTCTATGTACTAGCCAGAGCTTAGTGCCATAATGATTAAAGTGTTGTTTTGATAATTATCCTGGCTATAGATGGTAGGACCACAGCACAAGGTTCTGTCCTTGTGACATCTCTATGGAGCAAGTGTGACCAAAGCCCCAGAGCCCACACTGCCGTCACTTACAGAGCTAGGAACTGAATCTTTCAGTTGAGCCTTATTTACACAGCTCGTAGTCTCAAAAGGCAATGCATTAACTAACATCTTAGGAGTCTCTGCTAGCTCATCTCCAGCCAGCAGATTAAAAGGGAGAAGGGGGTGGGGCAAAGGCAGGCAGTCATTCTGAAATTCAGTCATATCACTCTGGTCAGGTGGTCAACCGCACTCAGTGTCTGGGCCTCTCCCATCCTTTGCATTCTTTCTGTATTTTGTGGATATTTACATTCAGGCATTGTGTGCAACATTGAGTCAAGTTGGTTTCTTCTGGTATCAATCTTGTATTCCTTCATGGGTTTCTGGTAACTCAGAACAAACAAATCATTAACACAGTGTGTGCTAAGCAGTCATAGCATGCAGATTCCCTCTGTAAGGTGGAGTATACATGTACCGTTATGATACAGAATGCAAAGGCGTCACTATCGGTCCCTTCTGTCCCTATCACAAGGGCCACCACAGAAGAATATACTTTGTTTGAACACAAAGGAGAGTGTCCTCAGAAAGGGCAGCTTTCTGGCCCATGGGGATGTCCAAACATAGTCCAGCCAATTACATGGATGAATAGAAGTTGGTCCTCAGGTGTTGCTGTGTCAGACTCTGGTGACTGCAGGTCCTGTTTTTTGTTTGTTTGTTTGTTTGGTTGGTTGTTTTTTGTTTGTTTCTTTGTTTCAAGACAGGGTTTCTCTGTAGCTTTGGAGGTTGTCCTGGAACTATACCAGGCTGGCTTCGAACTCACAGAGATCTACCTGTCTCTGCCTCCCAAGTGCTGGGATTAAAAGTGTGCACTCCCACCGCTTGCCTTAGGTCCTAGTTTTAACTTGATGGCAAGGTTCTGCAGTTTCAGAAGGCTATGACTCTAGAACATCTCATGTTGGAAACTCCAGTTCAGCATTTATGAGGACCAGGCAAGGCACAAATATTAGGGAAACATAGGTGGATACAATGGGTCTCTGAAGTCAGATGGGATGTGGCTATAAGCCCAGAGTCTGTTCATTACCATCCAGGTTCTGTTTTTGTTTATTTGTTCCCTGGGCCTCAGGCATCTGCCCTTCTTCTTTCCAGGCAGGAATTGATGGAGAAAGCATTGGCAACTGTCCTTTCTCCCAGCGTCTCTTCATGATCCTCTGGCTGAAAGGAGTCGTGTTCAATGTCACCACTGTGGATCTGAAAAGGTAAAGGGCCCTATGTTCATGGGGGAACACCTAGCACAAGGAAGATTCAAATAGGATGAGAGAAAGCCAGTGCCATCCAGTGGCTCCAGGCAGCCTCTGATAGATTCCATCTCATTGCCCAGAACTGTTCCCAGAGTCCAGCCCAGGACACAAAGGAGGCTGAAAAAACCAGGCCCTTCCTCAGAGCTGTGCTTTACTACGCTGATTGGTGAGAATTGATTAGCAAGAAAAACAGAAAACAAATGGCCCACTCACTGAGTGTCTGTTTCAAAGATGAGCCCAGGCCTCTGTAATATTGATTACAATGGCATAGACATTGCATTTGAGGGACCCTGGTGGGACTTCAGGAGTGACAACTGAGTCTTCAGGGAATTGGAATCCAAACCATTTCCGATCCTTTGTCTTCACTCTCATAATCCATAGTGTGAGGGTTCTGGACAGGAGAACTGCATATAAAGGTACTAGAAAGAAAGAAGTGGCTTGATTGTGTCTGTTTATTTAAGCTTTTAAGTATAATTTTATTCATATTGGAGCCTCATGAATACTAGTCAAGTGCTAAACCACTAAGCTGTAGCCCTGACTAGAAGTCTTGAAGTGTAACAGGTGTCTTACTCCACTGGGGCTAGCAGTGCCCAGAAAACCTTTAACACATCCCTCTGCCCACAGTAGAAAAGCATCCAACACAGTCTATGCTCTATATAGTTTTCCCAGTGCCTCTCACTGAGTCCTATCTACTTGTAGGCTGGCCCACTTCTGGCTGCTCTTGCTCCCAGCAGCTCTTGGCTAGGGGCTTCTTCCATGTAGACAGGCTCCTCTTCCTCGTCTCTTCCAAATTATAGAATACTCTGCCTCCAGGCTCAACTTCAGTCCCAATTCCTTCGTAAGGCCTCTGTATCCCATCACTTTCCAAAGTGGCCTCCCTTTAAACTCACCTAGCTCCTATTATCTATCTTTAGGCATAATCATTATTTAGCATTTCACTCAATTATAACATCTATAGACACAGTGCTTTATAGCCACCGAAGGCTTCCCCGTGTAAAATCCTGCACTACGTAATTTATACGGGGAAAGTCCATGACTCCATATTGTATTATACAGAGAAGCTGAGACCAACCCCCTGAGGTGACCTGCTCCGTGTGTCCATCCAGAAACAGGAAGGGCTGCTGCAAAGATCCTAGTGTCTGTCGTTGGTTTTAGTGCAATAAGGGAACATGTGTCTGCCATGCAGCTAGTGTCTTTAACGACTGAAAAGAGCAGACTCTAGGGCCTGGGGGAGGAGCTTGCTTCCACAGAGACCAGAGCTTTTAGATTCTCACCTCCAACCTCTGGATTCACCACCAGTGAAGATGGCTGGAGTACCCAGCTGGAGTTCAGGCTGGGGAGAAGTCCTTCCAGCATCCTAGGGATGTCTCTGTCTCTCACATTATCAGACCTGGTCCTGCCAACAATGCCTCTGTGAGGCAGGCCTGGTATAGTGTCACCTTAGTTTACAGTGCCATCTACACACACATCTGTTCTAATTTCTAAGAAAACTAATCTCTTACTCTGGCATCCCCATTGATTGGCTGGGTGACCTTGAACTTTTCTGAGCCTCGGTTTCTTCATCCATCTAATGATGATTAAAAAGAAATGCCTTCTTCATCCACAGGAGTGCTGTGGAGGGTTTCAGGAGGTGGGACCATGGATTTATGTTCGGGATTATACTTGGCCTACTGCACGAATTTGAACTCTTGGCAGCAATGTTATATTTAAGCAATGTTCCTGCCCCAGTGTCACTGTCAATCCAAGGAACTAAAGAAAAAAAAATGAGGCACATGGAATAATTCACAAATCAGACCTGGAAATATGCAATTCTGTAATTTCAATTGTAAGTGCTAATAGGAAGTCTACACAGAGGGGAGGGGTGTGACTGGCCATCAATCTTTTGGCAATGCCCAGCTAAGCTTCAGAAGCCAGAGTGGCATGTCCCCAAGGTGTCAGGATCCAGCAGTCAAAGTGTATCCAGTATCCCAGAAACAAAGCCACCACACTATCAACAGATCACTGTATCTTTAAGCCACAGTAACTGGTCAAAAATAAAATCTGTGAGGACTTCCTTCCTTGCCAGTGTCAGTTGCTAAACAGGAGGAACCGGCCAAGAACGTCCTTTCTTTATGTGAAGGGAGGGACACACAGAGTCAACAAAGGCACTAAGTAAATTAGATTTTAAAAATACTTGGAGTCTCAAGTGTCTTGAGTTCCAAGTGTCGCAGAATGAGGCTGGAGAGCAGCCTGTTGGGAGTGACATGGGAGCAGCATGTCATTGAAATTCTTCATGTCCCCTCCCTAAGGTCTCCTCCCTAACTGATTAGGCCAGGAATTTGTCTCATTACAGATGCCTCTGCCCCTCTAGTTGACTTTTGCAGTGCCTTCATCTCATATTTTCTGCTCCGACGTCCACAAGGAATGTTGCAAACTCACAGAGCATTTTGGGCAATGGACACTCCATGTGCCCAGGGGCTCCTGCCATCATCAGCCCCTCTCTCTTTCCTCAGTGCAGCCCTCTGGTTCTCCATTGTCTGTTGCCATGCCCTCTTCCCCTCCCTCACCCATCCTTGCTGTCACATTTGACCACCTGGCAGGAGGCACTATAGAAGCACACCTCATCACTGGCAGTATCAGAGTCAAGCCCTCCTAGTTGCTGTCACCAGAGGCACCTCCTCAGTGGCAGTTGGTATGCTGTCCAGCCCAAACTGGGACCACTCGAGGCCCTACTGAGGGCAGAGTCCAGAAAGTTTAGTTGTTCCATCATTGGGTGTGCACTCCAAATTCCCCCACTCTTCTCCAACATCTACGCCTGCCTCTCTGGATCATGGGGAACCTCAGCACCTCTGTGTCCCCACTGCGTGTGCTGGAAGTGGTGGGGTTCACTGACACTTGGTTATGAACGTGAGTGCCATACCCAGGGGCCTTCTTTCTTCTTTGTGTTGTGGTATGGGGACCGAGCCCACAGCTTCACACATAGTAGGCAAGTGCTGACTGCATCCCCAGCTCTCTCTCTGCACTTTCTGCTTTGGTATAGATAGCATCTTGCTAAGTTGCACAGACTAAACTTGGAATTCACTCTGGAGCCCAGAGGACTTCCGGCATCAGCTCACCCATCTGGTTGGGTGATGGGCCTGTGTTCTCTCTTCTGAGGGACTGGTCAGCTAAGTACCCTTCCTCTACAAGGTCTTCCTAGTCCTAGGAAAACCGGTGACAAAAGGAATCAGCTTTCCCAAACATATGCTGCATTTACTCAAGTCTTGTTAGAAAAATGAAGCTGTAATTCTTTGGAAATTGATAATTTATAATCTAAGCTTTCCCCTAAATGCCCCCAAGATTTGTTTTAAAATATTCTACTTCTGACTTGGGAGATTTTAAATTTATATATATTGAACAGAATTTTTAAAATACTTCACAAAACTACTAATTTCTAGTGAGATTAAAATCATAGTAGTCACATTTTAAGAACAGTTTGTGCTCAAATTAAGATTAAAAACAATAAAGGTGAACTATGCTGGATTAACAGGTTACCAGTAGGATAGCTACCTCCTAATACGCAATAGTTTCTTTTTAAATCAACATCAGGTCAACTTTTGATCTCTAATTTCACCATTAAAATTATTCCTTTTTAATGTAAAATTTTATTTTATATGTATGGGTGTTGTATACCTCCATGTGTGTCTGCTCACCTTGTATGTGCAGTACCTGAAGAGGCCAGAAGAGGGCATCAGTTCCTCTGGAAGTAGAATTATAGGCAGTTGTGAGCTGTTAGCTGCGATGTGGGTGTTGGGACATCGTCCTCTGGAAGAGTGGCCGATGCTCTCGACTTCAGAGCCATATCTTCAGCCCCCAAGTCCTTCCTTTCTAAGTTAAGATGTATATTTGATTTACATAGTCATTAGAAATACCTAACTGCTGAGAACTTCCTCATGCCCTGCACAGTGCTAAGATTTTCCCCCATCCTGAGCCGAAAAACTTTTCTTAGATTCTTAGTTATATTCTTACCTAGTAGCAGTGGGGTCTCTTTTGTCTGTTTGATTGATGGATTTTTGGGATGATGTTCTGTTCTGTAGCCCAAGCTGGCCTCACAATTGCAGCGATCCTCTTGTTCCAGCCTCCCAAGAGCTGGGACAACAGAAGTAGACAGACCATCCTGCCCAGTTCATAATTCTTTGTGTAGAGTCCTTGGCTACAGCTTACCAAATGCTTCCTGACCTATAAAACTGTAGATCTGTAGAACCTAAGCCCATGATTTTTCACTAGGACCCAATGGGAAACTGAGCAATACAAAGCTCTTTGGACCACACATATTCCATTTATTCGTATTGTTTATCTCTTTCTTTCTTTCTTTCTTTCTTTCTTTCTTTCTTTCTTTCTTTCTTCCTTCCTTCCTTTCTTTCTTTCTTTCTTTCTTTCTTCCTTCCTTCCTTCTCTCTCTCTCTCTCTCTCTCTCTCTCTCTCTCTCTCTCTTTCTCTCTCTCTCTCTCTCTCCTTTTTGAGACAGGGTTTCTCTGTGTAGCTTTAGAGCCTGTCCTGGCACTTGCTCTGTAGACCATGCTGGCCTTGAACTCACAGAGATCCACCTGGCCTGCTTCCTGAGTGCTGGGATTAAAGGCGTGTACCACCACTGCCCAGCTATAGTCTTGTTTTTTTTTTTTTTAACTAATATTTCTTTCTCAAGGATCCCCCACATCAGGGGCTATTTAGAGACAGAAAATGTATCTGGTGAAGTCTAGGAAGATACTGACCAATGTCAGATGTTAATTGTTACATATTAAAATTGTGTTACTTATAATGGAAGCATATGAACTTGAGCTTGTGGTCCAAATCCAGCTCCCCTACACATATAGCTTTTGGATTCAGAGATATTCCTTAAGGTAAAAGTGGGATCTAGTGTGTTAATTTTTTTTTTTTTTTTTTTTGTCTGTGGAGACCAGAATAGGATATGAGAGCTCCTGGAGCTGGAGTTATCAGCAGTTGCGATCTTCCTAATGTGAGTGCTGGGAACCGAACTCAGGTCCTCTGGATGGCCGGATGTGTCCGTAACCACTGAGCCATCTCTTCAGTCCCAGTGCATTAATTTGTCATGCCTGGAATTGTTTCGTTTGGAAGCACAGCCCTTCACAGTTCCAGCTGGGAGCTAATTTAGACAGTCACCATGATGCTCTCCAGATTTTTTCAGTTGTGTTTAGTTTCATCTTGTAAAGTCCCTCATTCATTCCCTGGATGAGATTTCTGTGTCACATTATGGTCCTGCGGAACTCTATCCAGCTTTTACCGTCTTACACCCCATGCCACAAATCTGGTTACGCTACGAGCATGCTGGTTAGCGCCGGACCGGAGTTAAGGTTAAAGTCTTCTCAGAACAGGAGGGCCCCTGACTCCCACCATCACCTGAATGTCCCTCTCTCTACAGAAAGCCAGCCGACCTGCACAACCTCGCTCCTGGTGCGCACCCACCCTTCCTGACCTTCAATGGGGATGTGAAGACTGACGTCAACAAGATAGAGGAGTTCCTGGAGGAGACCTTAACCCCCGACAAGTAATGCATTGTTTCTTTGCAGTCATGGAAAGGGAGCCGGTTAGCTGTGGGCAGGCGGATTCCCAAAGGGGCTGCTTCACTTTGGCGCAGGGGCCTCTACTTTTCAGTCAATCTCAAAGTGGGTCCACTAAGGCCAGTTCACGGGAAGTATTGCCAATCAGTTCCTACACAGAGTGACTTTAGGAACCCTGGGGAGATTATTAGCTCTCCCTCACCCATCCAGGCTTGTTTCACTGTCTTGAGTTCACTGTACCTGGAAAACCTGAGAGGGGCAGGTGATAGAATGGCTACAGACCTGGAAAGGAACAGCTGGTACCAGAAACTACACCAGGAGTCACAAATCTGACCAAGTCACAGATAGACAAATACTGCCTGGGACTGGCAGATGCAAGAGCTGGAAGTCCTCCAGTGGGAGGGGTACGTTCACTGCTACTGATAACGAGAGGAGAGAAGAGACATAGTCTAAAATATGGCAGAGCCGAGGCTCATTCATTGTAGAACACTGTAATTGAAGATGAAAGCAATCACACCTCATTGTTAAACCAGAAAACTGGCACTGCTTACAGATACTTAGGGTAGCCAAGGAAAGATTTTCGGCAAACGCCTTGGAGATTCACTTGTAAGTCATACTCCAGGGGCTGGGAAAGAAAGTGGTGCAAAGGGTTGAGAATCTGGCTCAGTGGATGGGTGCTTGTCTGGCATGTGCTAAGCCATGAGTTCAACCCCTACACATAAACCAAGTGTGTTGGCGCATGCCTGTATCCTCAGCACTAGGAAGGTAGAGGCAAGATTTGAAATTATTCTTTGGAGCGCAGGAAGTTTGAGACTCGCTGGGGTACATGAGATCTTGTCTAACATGAAACATCCATAACAAATGGGCTATAGGTTTGGAATCAGGTAGGGGGAGCTAACTGGTGGCAGTTCAGGCAAGACGGAAGGAAGGGCTCAGCTGAGCTAGAGGAGCAAGGGACTAGTAAAGGAAGTAGAGTCAGGCAACCAATCACCCTCTTGTGTTTACTGAAGTTGTATTTACCTGTCAACATATGTATTTCCCATGTTGTGTCAGGCACTGAACTCCCCAAGTCATGTCACCCCCTCTCCTATCAGCCCCACGACCCAGGAGAAGGTACTACCCTTACCCTCATTTTTATAGTCCAGCATGGTGGGATAGCCCAAGGCAACCAATGATGCCTTATTGTTGGAAAAGTACTAATCCCTGTTGTGCTCTGATGAAGCCCTAAGCAAGGATGAAATCTCTTTCAAGGACATCCTTTGTTACCATGTTAGGACAATTCATTTCCACACCGAGGGGGAAGCTGCCTGCAGCCCATTGGAAGTGGCTGGGTATAGACTTTCAATAAGGGCATTAGTTCAGTCATCAGCAAAGCCACACATAACACCCGGTAGGCCACAGCCAGAAGCTTCAGATGTCTTTGGACAGAACATCAGCCAGCTATTAGGATGGATGTGTCCTGAAGGGGCTGGCTCCTCTTTCTTGTTCCCCTGGGACTCAACCTCACTTGTTGCTTGCACTACTTGCAAATCCTACATGAATAACTGTTTTCAGTAACTCAAGTGGAGTCCAGACGTCGCCGGGTGAGGTTAATATTGTCTCCTTGGAACAAATCCTTCCGTGCAGGAATGTGTGCTTCCACCCAGACTGGCAAGGAGGACAGGAAAACACAAGACATGTCCCCATGGTCTTCTGTCAGGCGGATAGGTGGGATATGCTGCTTGCTCTGCCAGAGGGCATATGTGTCATCTTGACCCCTCCCATCTCTGCTTTTGCCTTCAGGCTTCCTCTGTGAAAGAGCATGCCCCCTCCCAGACAGTTTGCTGCCCTGGTCCTTCATAGTCAGGTTAGCCAAGACCCCTGACTCTCATCACCTCAGTCCATGTCCACAAGGGGCACAGAGACCCTGGGGTTTATATATTTCACTTTTTTGAACTTTCTTCCTGAAGAAGGTCATTATCAGATTCCTTGTCTACTTTTGTAAATCAGGTTGTAAAGCTTCCATAGTCCTAGAAGGACCTAGCGGTAATGGGCAGAGACATTTCTAGCTTCTCCCTGAGGCTCACTGGTGCTATGGGTGCTAAGCACGCTGCTGCCCGTCCAGGTATTCTCTGGACTTGGGTTAAGTGGAGGAGATGTGATGAAGGGCATTCCTGCCATGCTAGTGACCTGACTATCTAGGTATAGGTCCTCAAAGTGGTTAAATGAACACCTTCAGAGGCCTCCTAAAGTAAGGACCTTAGTGATGAGATCTTCAGCTGCTCAGGATGTCTGTCACAGAGAGTGCTCTGTGTCATCAGGTTAGGGCAGGTGCTGCAGTTACAGGCCAGTAACTATCACCAAGCCAATGCTTCAGTCCTAAGCTCAGAATCCTGCCAGTCTGCCCTCAAGGCACCAGCATAGCCAACCTCCCACTAACTTGGGCAGGAAGGTGTGGGGCTTACATCCAGAGGCTGATGGAGTCCTGTTGCCTGGCCTTCTGCTTCTCCAGGGGGCAGCAAAACTCCCTCTTTCCTGATGCTGCGAAGCCATGTGTTTCTTATCATGCTGCTGTTTGTGCCAGAGAGCCAAATTTGGTTGGCTTTTGGTTTCTAAAGGAGAGGAAATCACATACAAATATTCCACTTTTTAAAAATTACATTTGGTTCCACAGAGCATTTGGTGTCACAGTGAAGAACCCTAGTTTCTAAATGAGACTCCTTTCTGTGGACCGACCCAGTCGGTCAGGAAACAGATACAGCAGCTCATGTAGAGTTATTGTTGAGACATACCTGGTCCTCGTCTGTGATCTCCACCCTTAACTAGAGTTTCTAGGGTTCAGAACTGAGGGGCATGGCTGCCTAGAAACCAATTGTACATCCCGTGTGGCTTTAGGCAGGAATCTCTCCCTCCTTGTGTGATCATCTTGAAAATGAAGGGTGACACTCTATGTTCTCCAAGATTCCTTTCTACTTTTGTAAGTGACTGCATGAGGTCCACAGAGGACTTTCCTAGAGCTGACTATTTAAAAATAATCCTAGTGGGTAGTCTGGGGTGAGAATTGGGGGTGGGGAGAGCAGGGTGAGATGACTCAGTACTTAATGTTTGCCTTGCAAGCATGAAGTCAAGAGTTTAGAAGCTCACTTAACTGCCTCGTGGGCGTAGCCAGCTGCCTGTAATTCTATCCTTGGGAAGCAGAGGCAGGGGATCCCCCAGAGCAAGCTGGCTTGCTAGATTAGCCATATTGAAGAGGTCTGGGTTTGACCAAGACACCCTGTCTCAACAGATGAGAACAAGATGGAGATGCAGTGTGATGGAGATATATTCCAAATACCAACCTCAGATGCCTATATGTATGCACACACATACCCCCCCACATGTCACACATTAAAAACATGAATACACACATACACGTCACACCACACACACACACACACAATTAAGAAAGGAAAGCGTAGAACCCAGGAGGCTAAACAAAAACAAGCTGGTTACATGGTGTGCTGTGCCATCAGTCAGGTGGCAGGCATGCACTGGGTGTTAGCAAGGCTCAGAATCAAGGCACTGTGCATGCATTGCTTTATTAAAAATGTAAGTAGACCTCTTGCAGCAGTAGAGCAGAATCACATTCTTCTATCTCCCGCCCCCCCTCCCCCGAGAGGCAGAGCCATAGCTTCAGAAGCTCCCACAGGATGCTGCATGTGTGAATGTGAGTTCTGGAGTCTGTGACATGGTTTCAGGTCTATGCTGCCAGGTGTTCTCATGTAGCAACACTGAGGTATAGTGGCTTAGTAGGACAAGGGCATCTTCCACTCGGGCAGAGTCTTGGTGAATGGTGTGGCTCTCTTTGAATGGTGTGGCTATATCTACATGGCCTCCAAGGTGTCTTCAGCAGAGAAAAGCAAAAAGGGGACACATAGACTACTTCCAAGGGCCGGAACCATGAGGAGTTACATCACCCCACCCTGCCCCATTCCATTGGCTAGACTCTAGTCACATGACCACAGTGCAACTGGTTGGAAAACGAGGGAAAGTCCATGGAGATTTAGTAAGTAAGCACATTTGCTGCTACAGGCAAGTTTAAAACAAAACAGACAGAAAACACTTCTCTAATTTTGATTCCCAGGCGCTATGTGATATTTTGCAAGGCAAGAGGAACAAATGTCTGTTCAGCCCACGTAGGTCACCACAACAAACCAATGAAGTGATTCCACCCAAATCCAGCTTGGTAAACCAATGGGTTTATTAGGATTAATTACCGGGGCATGGATAACTCAAAAGTGAACCCAGCCTGGTAACTATGTGTGAAGTCACTGCTGGGTGACCACTGCATCCCTGGAACTCCTGTATAGCTGGAAGCCAGCTCCACTGAGCAGTTTCCTCTTCCCCAGAGAGCTGAGAGCTGGCCCTAAACATTCTTGAGGATTTTTTCAAGGGCAGTGTCTCTGACATTAAACTTGCCATGGCTCCAAGAGCAGGGCAGTCCTAGTTAATGAGGTCATAAAAGAACAAAGAAATGACAGGATGATGACAAATGATTTGTGTGTGTGTGAGTGCACATACATGCAGGCATATGCACATGTATGTACATGTGTGCATGGAGGCCAAGGTCAACCTCAATGTCATTCTTCAAGCATCACCTCCTCTCTTGTCTTACGACCCTGGATCTCTCCTTGGCCTAAAATTCACCAATTAGTCTAGTCTGGCTGGCCAGCAAACCCCACCTCTCTAGCACTGGAATAACAAGCAAGCTACCACCTCACCTTTTTGACATACCTTCTGGGTGTCAACTCAGGTTTTTATCTCACTGTCTTTACTGACTGAACTATAGCCCAACCTCACAGCCATTGATTTTAAAGACTCCTTTGGTTGAAAACAAAAAATCTGAGCAAAAAAGAAATTTGCTTAAGAAACACATAGCAACCAGAAGCATACAGTAAAACTGTTCACTCCAGATTGCAAAGACCCATGCTTATTGTTTATTATAAATGACCACTTGCCTCCATCTGTGTCCACTTCTGCATGGCCATGTACATAATGACTTTGTAAAAAGAATGTTTTTGCTTTGTTTGTTTTATTTACTGATAATGAGAATCACTCATATGATGATGGTGTTGCGTTAAATCCAAAGATTCCCACATATGTGTGTGAGCTTACCCCCTCATTTGGTCTCAATGCCATGGATCCTGAGTCTGGCCTATCTCTTTAATTTTTTTTTAACTTCAAAATGAGAAACAGTATAAGGGACGGAGTGGGTATCATTGCAAATCTCCCTCCACACTTGGGAATCTAAGTGATATAAAACACATGACCTTTGGAGCTGGATTAAATTACTACCACACACATGTACCAAGCACGAGAAAGGCGTTTTAGAAGCACACAGGGGACACTCTCCCTTTGGAGAAATGAGTTAAGCATCCACTGGCTCTGGACAGCTAGGTTTGTGATGGTAACAGTAGATGGGTATTTTCATGACCCTGTGTCACTGTGTACCATTGGTGGTGGTTCCAGGAAATGTCCTATGGATGGCATTCTGGTTCCTTGCCCAACATGCTGAGTCACTCTGGTTTAGTCTCTCATCAGCCTCTGGTTTCCTTTATTATGATTGAGGGCTGAGCACCCAGGCTTCCTTTAGGATGACTCCAAAATCCCAGAAGATGGTAGCTTCAACCAGGAAAGAGAATGCTGCCCCCTGAGATGTAAACAGGCTTGTCCCTAAAGAGCCCTGCTCTCACAGTTTCATAGAACATTCTACCTTCCATTCCAGGTACCCCAAACTGGCTGCAAAACACCGGGAATCGAATACTGCAGGCATTGACATCTTCTCCAAATTCTCAGCCTACATTAAAAACACCAAGCAGCAGAACAATGCAGGTGAGTGACACTCCTAGGGATGCCAGACCAGGGCCTGCTTCATGCCAAGTGATGCATCTTTGGTTTGCCCATGGTCATTTCAGACCACCAAGCCAGAGAAGCTTCTGGAACTGATGCTGCTTGTTGTTTTTTCACCTTCCTGACTCAGAAGGGAGGGCACAGAACCTGCTGCCTGCAGTGTAGGAGAAAATGACTCAGAAGTGGGGTGTAGCTTGCTTTGGAAAACTACTATTGCACAGCAGAAGGCATGGCACGGAAGGGTTCTTGGGGCTGTGCATTGTCCTGAGACATATGACTCCATCTGTGTTCACAATGGGACACAACTTCCCACTTCTTTGTAGTACCGAAAAGGTTTTTCTGAGGCTGACAGGAAACATGAGAAGGGCAATGAGGGTCAAAATTTGGTGAACGCCACAGACCTAATTTTCTTCACCATGAGTATGGGGGCTCCCAGGAAGGGCTTCTAAAAGCCAGACTCCCTCTTCCACACAGCCCTTCCTTCCTGGTGTTGGCTGCAAACCTAGTACCCACTTCTCCCATGATGCCCTAACAGAGGGATCTGAGCACACCGCACTTAAGCTCCTGGGAATTTCTGTTCTCATTCAGCATCTTTCTTTAAAGATTTGCTGAGGTGTCTGAATGGGGGCTGGATCTGATGAGTAGTGGCGAGACCCTCAAAGCAAAGTGGTGAAGAAGATGGAGAGAGAGGATGAGTTAGATTCCTGGGGACCAGTACCAAGCCAAGAGGTGGAAACACCATATGAATATTCATGAACGAAGCAGGTGGTGATGCACAGTGGACCACAGGAAAATGCCAGGTCCCCCTGGAGTTCAGATCAGGGGATATCTCTGAGAACCAGTGAGAGAGAAAAAAAATGGTAGTTAGTGAGAACAGAACCAGCATAGTAGGAATGGGCTACACCTGTCACAGCTACTGAGACCTTGGTTTGAACCTGGAGGTTCACAGAGATTCATGACAGAATTCAGAGTGGGAAGAAGGTGGGGAAAGTCAAGGAAGGATCAATTGGCTCAGAGTTTGAGAACACAGTCCACCATGGCAGAAAGTCAAGATTGCCATGTACCAGGTCACTTTGTGCCCACAGTCTTCTGTGTCTGTTGGTGTAGGAGGAAGGTTCCAAGTCACACAGTCCAATTAGAAGACAGGAAGCATAGTCTAGTTTAACCAAAGGGAACAGAAAGAGCTGGTTAATGGGCTAGCAAAACGAAAAGCAACTTCTACTAAAGTACCTGAAGTAGGGGTCATTCTCTGAGGAAGTTTCTCAAAGAATTCCAACTAGAGCTAAGGTTGTATTGTGCAGGTCGGGAAGATGGGAAAAGGTTAGGGCCAGAGATGGAGAAAAGACGCCAGAACTGCAGTGCCAGTCTATGTGTCTTTGATTTCATCCCTTGGACAATGACAGCTGCTCAAGGATATGTAGAAGACTATAAGAGAGAAATCTTTGGAGGACAAAAGACAGTATGTGGAAAACATTTTGAGCATACTTGGTGATTTTGTTTCATTACAGGTTGGATCCTGTAGTTCACTGAATAACACCATTCCCCTCAAAGGTCATTTGTACCTGTCTACCTGGACTCTCAGAACATGACCTTATTTGGAAATGAGGTCTTTGTAGATCAGATTAACTCAGGTTCTCAAGATGAGTTCAGTCTTCATTTAGTGTGGTCCCTAAATCCAATGACTGTTGTCCTCATAAAAAGATGACAGGACACAGAAATGCAGAGCACAGGATCATGGGAAGACAGAATCAGAGAGTGGAGCCATGCAGCCACAGCCACGGCCATGGCCATGGCCACAGCCAAGGCTTTCCAGGTTAAATAGGAAGAGCAAAGGAAAGGTTGACATTTCAGTTTGGAATGTTCTGTCTTCCAGAACTTTGAGAGATATCCCATAATGTTAAGTCAACCAGCTAGTGGTCTTTTATTGCTATAAGTCTGAGGAGACTAACACAACCTGTGATAGGTATTTTTGGATTGCAGTGACAAATAGATGACAATAGCAACTTTTAATGAAGGGAGGGTCATGTTGACTCACAGTTTGAGGGTACAGTCCGTCTCAGCAGGAAGGCAGGGGGCAGGGACTCAAGGCCTCTGTTCACAGTGTATCCACAGTCAGGAAGCAGGTGGAAGCCGATGTACTCAACTTGTTTTCTCCTTTTATCCATTTTATTAAGTCCAGGACCCAACCCTAGGATGGTGCCACCCACATCTGGGTGGACCTTCCTTCCTCAGTGGAACCTCTGTGGAAAGCCCCTCACAGACACACCCAGAGGTCTGTCTCCTAGGTGATTCTAAGTCCAGTGAAGTTGTCAATCAAGACTATGTATCACAGCCCTCAGCACTTCCTGGAAAAGAACAGTTATTGACACTTTGCTGGCGCAGGGCCTAGAGGGCAAGGAGAGGACCAGGGACTTCCCTCATCGCCTGGGCTGGCTGGCTCTGAATTCTGTTTCTTCAGACTCTATATCCAGTGTCTTTTCATCTCAACCACAAATATCTTCCTCCATTCTTCTCAGAGTGCCCTCAGAAAGATTATCTCATTTGAATCTCCCAGACTTTTAAAATTATAAACGGTATTTACATATTATCCACATTTACAGTTCTGTTACGCCCAAAACCAAAGCAACAGTTTCCACAGAATACCTCCGTGTCGATTTCCTATAAACTCAATACTCTCCAATTTTCATTGTTTCCCTTCTTCTGTTTCACCCTGGTTTTCCCCATAATGGGCTTTGCCCTTCTGATTTCTTCCCCTAACTCATTTGCACATTTCAAAGCTCAGACATGTCTGCTTTCTCAATAGCTGTCCTCCACACGCTCTGTTCTTCTCAGCCCCACACTGAGATAGCCAGACTTACCCACTGCCCTCCCCACACCCCCTTTCGTTTTTTTCCCCCTCCTGCCCCATACGGAGTTTTGGTAAGCAGGATTCTAAAGTCCTTAGGCTCAGAAAGTCAGGGGCCCATGATGCTGCAGTCCAGTCTTCCTCATAGAGACAGCCTCACTCCTGCAAGGGAGCCCAGAGTTACACTCGCAAGCCATGCTCACAGTCCCCACGCTCCAGGAGACAGTCCATGGCCCTCTCCATCTTCTTGGTGCTCCAGGCTAGAAGCTCAAAGCTTTCTGAAATCCATCGTTTTGCCCTCTTTCTTGCTGGCTTTTCAATTAAGTGTCTGTTTTCTAACTTCTTCCCTCTTCTTAATTCACTGGGTCATTTCTCTCATTTTCATTATTTAACTTCATGTTCTTGTTCACGTGTGTCAAGTTATACATGTGTGGGTATAAATTTATAGTGTGTGGTTCTTTGGCCCCAGCCTGGTCCCACAGCTGCCTCAGCCCCAAATGAACACACAAGACTTAATTATGAAACTGTTGGCCGGTGGCTTGGGCTTTTTATTGGCTAGCTCTGTCTTAATTATTAGCCCTTTTCTATTAATCTATGTATTTCCACATGGTCTTAACTTACCAGAGAAGGGTTTGGACCTCTAACTCCTTTTTGGTGGCTCACATGGTGACTACTAAGCCTCTCAGCAGAGAAGAGAGCAATCTCTTGTTTGTCTCTGCTTATAACCTGATTCTGTTCGGCTGCATCACTTCCTGTCTGGGCAATCAGTGTTTTATTCATAAACCAATAATAGAAACGTATACACAGAAGAACATTCCCCATCATCTCCTCTTTTCTGTCTAAATAAAAAGAAGGGTTTTAGCTTTAACATGGTAAAATTATATATAACAAAACAGTTATCAAGTAAGAACTATAATTATATTATTTAGTCCATTAATATTTAGCAAGATTTAAAGAAAATATTCTAGCATCTATCCTATCTTTGTGAGTTTAAAGTCCTATATGTAACTTGTCTATTATTATAACTGACTAAACCATAATCATAACTGTTTTCAACTCCATCAAAGACCACAGAAGGATAATATATAAACTATAGAATTGACAGAAACATCTTGCTGCCTGGACAGTTACCCGAAGTTCCTCTGTATTGTTGGAGCATCTATCTTTAGCCCATAGACCATAATGTGTCTGGCAGACGTCTCAGCGAAGCAGTAAATTTGAAACTGTCCTACCTGTATTGGCAGTTTGTCAGTCATTTTTCTCTGTGGTCCTGAAGAATTTTCAGAGAGGTGTGCATGTGCACCTGTGAACACATGTATGTGGGGGCCAGAAGCCAATCTCAGGTGTTATTCTTCAGATGGTTTCCCCCTTATTTTTTGTTGAGACCACATCTCTTGCTGCCCCCAAACTCACTAATTTGGTTTGGAACGCTGGCCAGTGAGCTTCAGGAATCCATTTGGTTTCTAAGTGATACCATGCCACTCCAAGCCACTGTGTCCAGTATTGGGGATCAAACTGAGGTCCTCACTATTATGAAGAAATACTTTACTGGCAGAGCTATCTCCACTCCTCCCCTTTTCTTTCTTGAGCAGAGTCTTCTCTTCCCTGAGACACACAGTTGATGGTCATAATCTAGTCCCACCCCACCACCAAGAAATCTCAAGAAAAGCTAGCACTGTAAATATCATTCAACAGGGTCAGTCTTCCCTCCACTTGCTTGCTGGCTTTCATAGCTCCTGTTAAAATTCTCCCAACTACTACAAGCCAGCCCTCATCCATAGGAAATATTCCCCACTCATACTCAAGAGAATTGACCATTAATTTGTATGTTTACTCTTTTGTTTAGCAATTCAACAAAATTCTGTGGAGACTGGGGAAATGACTCAGGGAGTAAGAGTGCTTGCTCTTCAAACATAAGGACCTGAGTTCAAATCCTCGGCACCCATGTAAAAGGCTGAGCATGGGTACATCATGTGCCTGTGAGCAGAGATAGGCAGATCCTTAGAGTTTGCTGGTCAAGCAGCCTGGTGGAAAAGGTGAACTTCTGGGTCAGCAAAAGACTGTCTCAAGTCAATAAAGCATAAGGCAATAGATAGAGGAAGATACCCTATTCTGGCCTCCATATGCACACACCCAC